GAAGGGTGTCGTTTAAAACTGGATAAAGAGGCGGCTTCCCTAAGTGACAGGTCAAGGGAATTCCACTCATTTGCAGCAAAGTTGTTACTGGTCCATCTTAAGGGTAAGAGCTTTTCGTTTTGTCCCTTTTCGTTATTAACTTGCATCTTCTGCAGTTGGTGTGTTCTAGTTAATCATATATGTAAAGAGAAAAAAGAGATTTTCTCATTTTCATTTAAATCACATTTGTAATTATGAAAATATTAGTTTAATTCAGTACTGTTTAATATTGCGTCAATTTAATTGCATGAAGGTATTTTAAGTGTAATACAACTTCGTCCTGGTTTTAAAAATCTCATTTTATTGAGTTTGATAGACATTTTGTGAGTGCCTAATGTGGACTTGCAGATGCAACAAAGAAATTACAGAGAAGTGTTTTTCGCTAAATTTAGTGAAATATGCTTCACATTCACCTAAGATTAATGCGTTTTTTCCTCTGGTTTCACAATTGTGTATTTGGATTTTTTTAAAGTTATTTCTTTGGTTTGTGCATTGTATTTTTAGCTGTAAAAATGTATTTAGTAAATCATGTCTGTGTAGAGTGTTGACAGTGGTTGACATAGTTTAAACAGATGATCAAAGACTATGGCCTTGTCTACACTTATCAAGATATTTTTTAATCTTCAACTTTTTTTTCCAGGTATCTCTTCCATCCACATGCATGTCAGAGTAAAATATTAATTTTCTTATGGACTTGTCTCTCAGACAAGCACTATATTAAATTGAGCACTACAGAAAATACAATAACATATAATGATACTCTTTGTGTGTAAGTTCAAAATTGTGCATAAGCAACCTAGTCCCTAGGCGTTTTCGGCTCGGTCAATCCTAGACTCTACCGTGATGCGATTTAACGTAAACGATTTAATTTGTTCGATTTAGAAGGAAACTGTTCCATTTGGAAGGTATCTAATCAATTTGAAAAGCATCTGATCGAATTAACCCGTCTGCTACGAGAAAATGGCACTCAATTTAGAAAAGGTTTGTTGACTGAATTAGAGCTATGGCGCTCATTTTGGAATGTTGACTCTCGATTTGACATGTTGAATTTTGACAGCATGAACGCGCCATAGCTACAAAGGGTAGATCTCGGATCCTCTTTTGCTATAAGGAGATACAGACATGAATTGTTCCATCTATGTGTAGCCCTTGTTCTTTATGGATAGTTAAAAATATCTGCTGTATCTCGTGGCCAAAAGGTAATACAAGGGAGGCCTTTTTCACTGGTTGTTATTAACCACATCTGTTATGTAAACAGACAGACCCAATTATTTAAACGAAGTCTAAGTTAACCTGTGTTTAAGGCTGAGCCACGGTTAAGACGTTGTCTTGATAAACAACGGTTAAACCATGTTTGAAATACGTTATTAAAACGTGACTGAGCTGTGTTTTGTTCTGTCAATGCTAAACAATTTCTCACAAGGAAATAGATTGTTTGTGGTGTTATTTGTATGCACATTTCATTCCCTGTTGGAAGTTGTGACTCAATATGGTCGCTAAGTCCGGTCAAACCACCAATTTATCAAAGAATAAAAACGGTTAATGCCGGCTGTGGGAAGAGAATTTCCAGAAGCAAAAAAGGAAAGGAAACGACAAAACATTGAAAAATCCGAGTCTCAAAATCCAGATTGTACCAAACGGAAACTGAAACTCCAATCCAAAGAACACGATTTGCAAAGAAAGGCTAGCGGAGAAAAAGCTCTCAGTTTGTATTGAAGTTATTCGCAGGAAAGAAGCAAATGTCACGAAAAAAGACAGAAAAGAAGGATAGTCAGCAGTACAGTAATTTTTGAACGCCCCCCAGCAATGAAGCTTTCACTTGGTATATATCAGGTTCCCAGCAAATCACAAGGAATGTTATTTTCGCTTCACAATCGCCCTTGAAACCTTGTGAATGGCTCAGTGTATGCAGTAAATACAGAAACACCAATTACATCGGCAATGATCTGCTCGAAAGTTGGCCCCTAGCCGTTGAATAAACTCTGAAAGCAATAAAACCTTGCAGCAACGGTGTAAGCAGCAGTCTCCTTGTATAATGCTGAAAGATTTTTGTTTAAATATTTAAGAGGTCACTGACCGAGTCTTTTCTATAAGGCAGAAACGTAAAGCTATCCCTAAGGTGCGGAATTTGTTGAACATGTACTTTGTGTCGATTGGGGTAGTCTTTTTTTTGTGTTAAGTCTCTGTTGTTTAGGAGTCCGTCTATTTCAGGTCATTTAAAAATGGATGACCATGAAAAAACCATAAATCAAGGTTTAAACCTACCTGTGAGCAGGTTTAACTTTCTGTTGTTCCTTAGTCGGTGTTTAGACACGGTCTAAACAAGGTTAGGGAAGAACAGTGTTTAAATAATCGGCATTCATGGTTTAAACATGGGCAAGACAATGAATTTCATAAACGCTGTGTAAACTTGGTTTAAATAACCAGCCCACAATGTTCTGAAAAAAGTCGCTGAGGTGGTTGCTAAGAAGCACCCAAGGAGGTTTGAGTTTGGTGCACCACTGAAAGATCATGATGATTAGCAGAAAAACTAGCGAATAATACGGATTTACAACTTTTTTTCTTATTTTTTCTTTCTATTTAGTAACATTGACATATGCTATTCTCTAAAATTGAAAAAGTAAGTAGTCTTTGTAAAAAAAAGGAACCGAAAAGGCTAAAGGAATCAGATGGAAGTTCAAAAAATTTGAAAAATATACATATTCTTAATGCAGTCTCTAACAATACAATTTTCCCCCTACAGAATTGCACCTCTGGCCTCGTTTTGTCCGTCTCCTTTTTGAATAGCACCCCCCGAAAAATTTTTGGCCATGTGCCTGCAAAGTTGAGATTCTCGTCAGTGTAGACTCCTAATAATTCTATTTGCTCTGTTACATGAAGCTTTTCTTTTATTGTAAGAGGCAATTGAAAATGTACATGACGTACACGTGCTCTCAAATTACCGTTACATTCTGGTTATTCCAAAAATGTGTATTCTGTCTTTTCCATGCTTGTTATGCACTTTTTTGAGACATTCGAAATCATCAGATTCATAAGCTCTCGAGCGCATTAGTCGTTGCCAATGTAATTTCGCTACAGTGTCACTAGGAGATGGGCGTAGGGGAGATCTAAAATAATATGGGCAGCTTTATTCTGAAGCACTTGCTAATGTCGAGTTTCCTCGGTCGCCCCAGATGATGTTTCGACAGTAAAAATGTGGTAAACCAAAGCCAGTGAAAGAGGTCAACCTAGCGCTAAGAGTTAACAAAGCTTTAATCGATCTCTGGAGACCTAGATTCTTATTGATCTTTCTGCAAATGTGTTCAATGTGATCATTCCATGACAAGTTGTAATTAAATTGCATTTGTACTATGCTAAGGTATGAAATTGTTTCTTCTTTCTGTTTAGTGACATTGACATCTTCTATTCTCAAAAATTGTAAAAGTAAGTAGTCTTTTTAAAGAAAACTGAAAAAAGCTAAAGGAATCAGATGGAAGTTCCAAAAAAAACTGAGAAATATCCATATTCTTAATGTAGTCTCTGACAATCCAATTTTACCCCTGGAGAGTTGCACCTCCGGCCTCGTTTTGTCCGTCTCCTTGTTGAATCGCACCCCCCTAAAAAATACTGGCTACGTGCCTGCAAAATTGAGACTCTTGTCAATGTAGACTCCTGGTAATTTGATTGTAAGAGGCAATTGCAAATGTACATGACGTACACGTGGTCTCAAATTACCATTACATTCTGGTTATTGCAAAATGTGTATTCTGTGTTTTACATGCTTGTTATACACTTTTTTCAGACATTCGAAATCTTCAGATTCATCAGGTCTTGAGCATTCTGAAACAATTTTTGAAAGATTTTAAAAATAATACACAATTATTGCGGAATTTTTTAAGGGCAACAATCACCGCTTCGTTTTCAGACTTTGCATCATCTTGGAGACACTGGTTTACAGGAGGATACTGACCATGTGCCGCGAAAACTGTACCCCATACCCTGTTGGCGCTTTCTCCTTCCTCTCCCAAAGTATCTGTCCCACCTTGGAAACCTGATAAGTTCCTGAAAATTAACAAGGAGGTTTTTCGGTTACTTAAACCTCCTCACTATACCAAAATGCTAAGAAATCCCAATGGACATTATCTCTCGTTTGTAAAGGCTGAATGTATGCAACTGCTTTTTTCAGGCTCTGTTTAAAGCCACCAATTCTATTGTAACGACACCAGCT